AATCAGCAGAGCGAACATCGTTTTGTCTGCGTTGTTCAAAGGGCCATAATTTTATTATCGAACTTTGTATCCAACTTACCTTATGCAAATTTTATAACATATAATCAATCCCAAGTGAAAATTGTATATGAAGGCTGTCTTCTGGAAGGGTGGATGGTGGGGAAACATTACCTGTATACTATTACCTAGTGATTGTTGCACCCGGAGGCATACGAGTCAAGGGTTCTTATGAACTCACTAATGTAAAAAGTGTAATTTACCCACAGCAATCTTCTGTAACACATTGCATTACATAGTATTATTGTCCAAACAATGATTGAAAATCCAGCAATGCGCAAAACACCCACACACACAAATAAATACTTGTCTTTGACTGATATCAAAGCAATGTCAAGCCAAATAAGTGAAGTTCAACTGAATTAAAAATGTCTTTTAAATCGCTCTTTTTATTTTGTGTTCTGAAAAATAAAAGATAGAATTCTCGTGTTTAATTGATGATTAGAATTTTTGAGAGTGATGCAGATGTACACCAGGGAAGATAACAGGATTTACTCTGTTTTTTTCGCACGCAATGTGCATTGTCATAAGTATTTGTATTAATTATTGTTCTCTACAACTTTATAAGTTTTATGAATGAAATTTGAAAGTCATTGTCATTGATAATATAGCAAAACATACACTGCCATTTATACACATATGGGAGGCGGGGGGTATGAGTTGCTCACAGTACATTGATAATAGTACTCACAGATGAGTTGTCATCAAACAACAGTTACTCCAGCTGATATTTTTTCGAAAAACTGAATTGGGTACTAGAGTTTATGCAAAACACCCCAAGAAACCTTAGTATTATGTGATTTTTTTTTTCAACTGCAAGCTGATTAATTTTGCTTTTAAATAAAGATATAACTGCGCTCTGATGCATTGCATTGTATTATGTTATTTGAAACATACTTCAGTGGTCAAAATTTATTCATCTAGGATTTTATGACAAATATGTTGAAAATGTACATTTCTTTCAAATGTATTAACAAACAAAAACAGACCATTTTATTGTTTATATTTATATCTTTTTAAATAATTATTTAAAGAAGTTTTAATTATTGTATTAATGATGCGAACGTCTTTATACGTTTCATTGCATGGAACAGCTAATCAAGAAATCTGTACAAACATGCCGACTGTAGTTCATGCAGTGATAAACGCAATGGGTTTTCTTATAAAGGAGAAATTATTCACATGTAAATATATAAAGATATAACTGCTATCTGATGCATTGCTTTTTAATATGCTATTTGAAACATACTTTGGTCAAAATTTTTCATCTAGGATTTTATGACAAATATGTTGAAAATGTAAATTTTTTCCAAATGTGGTGTTCTTCCTGAGGCCCACGGGCCTTATAGGTCACCTGAGTATCATGTAACAACTTTCCAGCGATCTATTTGGTTAGTGTTTAAATCAAAAAGTCATGAAATTCACACATTTTGAAAGAGGCACCATTGCTTATCAAAGGGCAGATTTCAAAGCATTTTTTATTTTTACACTCCTATGGTAAAACTGACCCAGTGGCCCTGAAATTATCTATTTTAAAAGAGGCCCCTCTCTTCATTATAAGGCCAGCATTTTTTTTTTTATGTTTAGGTTTAGTTATGAACATGAGAATAAAAAAGTGAATCTAAAGGAAATAAAAAAAAATAATTGATAAATCAATTGTACATTCTTTTTTTATGCTATTCAGTTGTTCCTTACCACTGGACACATTTGCTTACAAATAGGAAAATTTTAATTGCTTATTTCATCATCTGCCAGTTTGGGCCAGTTATATAAATTTTGTGATGTTGGTCAAAACATATTTTAAAAAATCAATTCTTTAAAAGTCTTTCAATATATCTTCATTTTTTAAATATGTGTTAGGTGAATGTGTAGACATTGTTCTAAAATTTAATTGATGCCTAAAATTATAATTCCTATCATAAAACAGACAGGGAGTATTGGGGAGTAGAGTCAACATTTTTTCAATTAAGTGTAAAATAATTTTTTTCTGGCTGATACAAATGATACTACATGCCTGTATATATTTGTATATTCTTGCCTTTTAATAGTTTAATTCTTTTTTTATTTCTTCAGGTTATTGTTTATTTCTTCCTCAAATGGACTAAACTTCTCCCATAGTTTTATTCATTACATCTGATGCATAAGCAACCCTTTTCTGAAGAATGATGCTTAGACTGTAAGCTATAACAAAGACCTAAACAATGTCCCTGGCAATATGCAATAGCTACCACGGGCAGTTTAAAACCTGGGGGAGGAAAATAATTTACAGACAGAAACTTTTGAAACGAATACATAATTATCTCACCAGCATGTCATTGTGCAACAAAGTTGTCAGCATTTTATTTGTCCTTTGAACTGGTGAAACGTTTTGAATGGCACTGGTATCGATGAATTTTACACTAAACCAAGCTATCTTCTCAGATGTAGCTTTATTTACCCGCCGTTTCATCTTTAAGCCGGAAGTGCGAGTTCGTAAATTTGAAATCACGATCCCGACTAATAATTGACATCGAAAAGAAAATTTTTTTTATTTTTTTCTGAAAATTCAAAACCTTGAGCAGAGGCAAGTATTTTGTACAACTGAAAATAAAATAAATCCTGGCCTTAAATATGTAATTAGATCATTAGCATATTAACCAGGAGCAAAGGATAAGATGTTCAAAGAATTCATGCAATTCACTATATAATCATTAGAGCCCCACCCTAAAACAAGAACCCCTGACCCTGGGGCCATATAATTCACAATTTTGGTAGAGGCACTCTTGCTCATCATGACTATGTACTTAGTTAGTTTATTTAATACCCAGGAGCAGAGAAGAAGATTTTAAAAGAAATAATGTATTTTCACTATATAATTAAAAAGCCCCGCCCTAACACCAGAACCCCTGACCCTGGGGCCATAAAATTCACAATTTTGGTAGAGGCACTCTTGCTCATCATAACTATGTACTTTGTTGGTTTATTTAATACCCAGGAGCAGAGAAGAAGATTTTCAAAGAAATACTGCATTTTCACTACCTACTTATTTAGCCCCGCCCTAGCACTATGAATTTCACAATTTTGGTAGAGGACTCATTGCTGATTACAATCATGCAAACAGTTTGACTGCTTGATGTCCAGGAGTAAAGAAGAAGATTTTTAAAGATTGCATTAATTTTAGTGGTTTTGGCCCCACCCCTCAGGCCCCAGGGGGGCAGGGATCATGAAATTCACAATTTTTGTTCCCCTTTACCCATAGATGCTTTGTGCCAAATTTGGTTGAAATTGGTTCAGTGGTTGCAGAGAAGAAGCTGAAAATGTTCAAATGTTAACGCACGACGCACAACGCACGACGGACGACGGACGACGACGTCGAAAACGGATAGCAATAGGTCACCTGAGTTTACTCAGGTGACCTAAAAACTTGCCGGTTTTAATAAGATTGTTTATACTTTAATAGGTTTTTTTTTTTACTCTGGATCTCAATTTGCAAACGCTAATAACGATTAAATACTTTGTATTTAAGTTTCTTGTCCGATGGAGGGGAAGAGGGAGGGCTAAACAGTGAAACACCAACTGTACTTTCGTGTTTGTCTAATGAGCAAACACTAAAGTAAACACTTTGAGACGAAATCAAATAAAGCGGAAAAATATATACATTCACATCTTGAATTATATATGCACAAGAAAAAAAGTGTTGGGTGTGGCAGTAGTGGTTTCTTGAATAAATGCCTTTACGCGAATCTTTTGGAGAACATTGAAAATATTAGTACGAAACTATTCCTGTCAGCTTTGGGCTCCCGATTTATTAGTTAAGAACAAAAAAGGAGAACATTTTTAAGAAACTTAAAAGTTTTACTGCAGAAATTGAAACATATTTCACGAACTGAATATGTTTTTAAAGAATACAATGCTCTCCTCTTATTGTCCCGAACTATTCAACCAGAACCCCAAAGCTGGCAGGGGATACTAAGGGGATTTTTTCTGTCTATAATCATGCTGGTTACCTCTGCATGTAAATTGGAGAAGGAATAATACCGTACAGGAAACAAGAACTTGATTTTTAAAAATATATTTTAAGATTTTAAGCACAGTTTTTGAAAGAATTGCATATATCTAAAGATGTCCCCACTAAATAATGCATTCAAGGTTATTAATTTTTGTGCAGAAAAAAAAATGAAGGATGCTTTTGGTTAATTGTTAAAATGTAGTAAAATTCTTTTAAAATCTCTGCTTCTGAGTATCTAGGAGGCAAAAGTGCACAAACCAAGGGCATTTTTACCAGATTTTTAAAATTCTTGAAATCTTTGTCAAGTGTTCTTGTGCTGAACTTGCCACTATTAAATTGAAACTACTACATAAAAATATTCCCCCCTTTTCTATTCATCTATGACGTTTATAAACTATAAATTATGTAAATGAAAGGTAAATTGAATAAGATATTTATATAAAGGATTGGAATTACCAACTAAAACTAGAGGTACCGTGAGCAATGAGTTCACTAAATGATACCCCCGCCTCCCATACGAATATGATGGCAGTGTCCATGTTTTGCTCTGGAAAATCCCAAATATATATCAGATCACAAAGTAAAATAGGAGGTGCACAATGGCAATATGTAATAAAGATTCTGTGAAAATTTCATTAAATTTCCTTCAGAGGTATGAGAGGAGTTGCAGATAAGAGATGGGTACCCCAAAGCGTAACAGACAGACGGATGGACATACCAAATACTATATACCCTTCCGCTTTTCAAGCGGGGGTATAATAATAAATACTAGTATTACGTGGTAAAAATATGTTTCCGTAGATGTCTGTAAGAGATAATTCTTAAGAAGTTGTATTTTAATGACAATAGAATTCAAATATCTTTAACCGAAAAAACAATCAGGCGTGAAATTTAATACGTAATTGCAAAATTCGTCCATTTTGAGTTCTTTGGCTGCCATCTTTGGCTTTGAAAAAATACCATAGCGTATTCTGACAGTGGTCTGCATATTTTCAGGTTTGTAACTTACATGTAGTCATTTTATTCACAGGTACCTGACGGAAGAATGGCGTATCCCATCCCCTCTAGCTTCTGAGAATATAGCCAACCTCTACGCCATCCATTCGTCAGGTGCCTGTGATTTCAATCACTGGTAGACTGACAGTAGAGAACGGTACTAGTAATGTATGCATCAAGTGATGACCAATGTCATACAAAATAAATATATAATAACAACCCTGCACATATTCGGCACATGTCTAAAAAATATATTTTTACAATAGCTCCAAAACAACGTGAGGTATAAAATTAAAACTTTTACAGTTTATAAATAAATCATTGTTTAATATTACAGATAATATATGTTACATACATATACAAAATATTTCAGGTACTCCTTGAATGTCCATATAGAAACTCCTGAAAGAGATGGCAGATGAGACATTTCAAAATGTCCTGGATGTATATAAACAGAATAAAATCATTACTTCAAAAAGTCATTCCTGTAGTAATATACGGAAGACTCGACGTGGAAAATTTGAGGAAGCTCTCCATGGAATTCATATCTTGAATGAATCCTATTTGCGGTCATTTATATGCTCTGTCTTCAGTAAAGACGCATCCTATTCTAAGTGTTTGGAGCGCATTGAGTATTTACCACAGCTACCTGGCATTGATGTCAAAGAGGCTAGGAAGCTTTTTCTTCTTCAGTTTGTGAAAACTTTCTCATTTATACTTTCAGTGTCTCACCTTGGATATAACCTGTATTTACAGGCCTTGGTAGACAAAAGGGATGAGGTTATCCACAAACTTCACAGAGACTATCATGTCGAATTTACTTTGTTTGAATACCCTCTTCATTTGGCCGTGGAGTGCCATCTTCTTCGAATGGTAGAATTTTTAGTGAATGTAAAGAAAATGGATGTGAACTGTGTTGACAATGAAGGCAACACACTTCTGCATCACTTGATGAAATATAATCCGTGTGGAGGTTGGCGCTCAAGCGAGAAGTTTAAACTCATTTTATTTTATTTTATCCTGCAATTCTTGAAGAGCAAAGGTGCAAAACTGTTAGTTTATAACAAAAATGGGAGGACACCTTTACAATATGCTATAGTGCATAAACATATTACAGATGTGGATAATTTCATAGCTATGTGTCAAGACTTTTGTGATTTCAATTATGAAACACTTATTGAAATCTTGGAACTCTCAGCAGCAAAACGGATGTTCATTTATGATGAAGAATCATCTCTCGAAGGAGTAAATACATATAAACGAGCGCTCAGGGAAAGAAGTAAGCAAAAAATTCCAAATACTAAGAAGAAAGAACCTCAAGAACTTTTCTTTGAGAATATTGTAGAACCAGATACAGAAAATTCTGAGTTTTTGAACTTAATCTGCACTGCAAGAGGAAAGAGGAAAAGGCTCGTTCTTGGCCTTCTAATATTTGAAAGAATATTAGGATGCAAACATTTTTATTTTTTGGAGGCATGTTCTGAATGTTTTTTCTTTTTATGTGATGCAGTTTGTGATGATGATTTGTCAACACAATACGTTTTGGACAGTTTGAAAATTTATTCAAATTTTTTTAAAAATATGAAGTTTTTTGATCCCTACAAGATTTATGAAATGGAGAAGTTTGATATTGAGGAAGGCACATGCAGTGTTCAGATAGTGACTCAATACTTGTTTCAACTTCGTCATTTTACTGAGAACAGTGAAAAATACACGTCAAAGGAACTGCTGGATGTGTTGTCACATCTGTATGTCGGTGGGATCAAGATGAAAATTGAGCAAGATGTTATACCCTGTCACGAAGACAAAATGGAATTGTTACACTTTTTAATCACCATTTTATCAAGAAATTAATCTGAAGAAAATAAAATCACCTTAAAGAAGGCTTTGAAAGCCATACTCAGTAATTCAATGAAGTGTGGATCATTAGGACTGATCCATTGTATGATTTGTCCTATGTTGAAACTGGGAAGTGATTATAATACAGACTTCCACTGTTTTGCTCATGGTCCACAAATTCTAGAAATGCTACTAGATTGTGGTGTATCAATTCATGAGTTAGATGAAGGGAAAATGAACCTGCTCCACTGTTTTTTAATGGCATTAAAATTGTGATGAAGATCAATATATAGATTTCAGAGAAGATGAAATTAAAAGCTTTAATGACCATGTATTGGAGATCATCACCATGGCATTGGAGAAAGGACTGCACATAGATCAAAAAACTGATGAGAAGTATGGATTCGAAACTGTATTGGAATTAGCGAAGGGTACAGAATTTTACCCTCTAGTGAAAAATCCTAAGTACAGAAGTTTGAAATGTCTCGCAACCTCAGTTATTATAGAAAAAGATATTCCATTCAGGGATAAGCTTCCAAAATCGCTCATTCATTGGATAGACTTTCACATGGGAATCAAAGACTACGAACATTAAGAAGTTCATTTATTTTGTCACCATATTTTTTAGTTATATCATTTATATTATGATTGACATCTGTGTTACAATTAAAGTTTTCAAATTCTAAACCAAACAAATAGAAGTTTTAGTACAATGATATGAAGGAGGGTGAGACCTTGATATGCTGACAGCGATGGAATCATTCCTCTGCTTCACTTGATACACTCCATCCAAAGTTCTGAGTTTAATATCAGTTTATTCACCGAAGTTTTGAAATTTTAAAGAGCAAAGATACCAGTTTATTGGTTCAGAAGAAAAAGAATCTATCTAGAACTAGCTCCAGAAAATTCAGAGTGTTTGGTCTCAGTCTGTCTCGTAGGAGAAAAGAGCTAGGAGAAGACCCATTCGACGCCTTCTGATTTTGGAATCATTTTAAATCATTTATACAAGGACAGTAACAGATACACGACGGCTGATATTGGTGCACTAAATACGCGTATGAAATGACATTGAAGCGCGATTCCCATTATTTTCTCCAACAATTCTTGAAAGCTTCTAGATTGCAGAGCATCAGTTCATGAATTGAATGGGAACGTAAGATCCAGAACGTAGGCTCTTTACTTATCGCAGTAAATGTTCTTTTTTGTCTTCGTGAAATTTTAATATGGTGACATTAAAACATACTAGTGGATGACCAAAAAAAGAAAAAATGTAGATTGAAACTCAAATGAAGATCAGTCAGAGGTTTGATATAAAGTTATTGTAAACTCTACTAGCTCTAGCTGGGGACGCAGAATTTCAAATCCTTTTACTGTGCAGAATGGTTTAAAAATGGATTGCAACCTCGGTGATTGTAGAAAAAACTTTTTAAAAAAAGAGGTTCCAGAACAGCTCATTTACTGGATAGACCTTCACATGGGAAATAGAGACTGTCATTATTATTGTCCCTACCTTTGTCACTATGTGTTTTTGTTTTGTTTTATCATATTTAATGTTTAAAGGACGCCTGTATTAGTAATATATGTAATAAATCAATGCCAAGTTTCAAATTCAAAAGTCTCGTGTCATTTTTTCATGCAATTAATCTTCTTCGCTGCTTCTGGATAAACAAGCGAACTACATACATACTGGTAGTTCCTCTTCAAAAATTGTGACCAGAGTCAGGGGTTCTGATGTTAGGGCGTGGATTGATTCTGTAGTGAAAAAAAAATTAAATCCTGGATATTGAACAAACTAACTACATGTACAAGCCTAAGACTTCTAGATTAATTTTAAGTAGTAACAAATATGGCTGATTTTCATGTATTCTGTAAACTACACCAACAATGAATGTTTTAGGAACACCCCCTCCCTGTATACATTGAGGAGCTAAATAACAAGTTGTCCTATAGTTTGGAACCTTTAGACTTATTTCAGTTTCCTATCTGTGGAACATCAAACAAATTACAGAAGAATGCATAGGCTTACAATTAAAGAATGAAAATTGTCTCTTGGGTGCAGAAAATGGCGATAAAGGTATATATATCTCTTCATTTGGATCTAGCATGCGCCTATAAGCGGCTGTTTCTATTCACATTTTGTATCATTTACCTAAAACATTATATTTAAAAGATTTTCTACCATATTATTTGACCAAGTATTTCTAAATTAAGAATTAAAGTATTAATTTTTCCTCTCCTCATCCTATCAATGCCAGTGGTCCTGAGTTGGACCCCTGGCAAATTTTGATCAATATTCGTGGACTGACATTTGGCATGATTTTTGTGTACCAAATGACAGTTCTAGATTATATACCTCACCAACATTAACCCAAAACTGACTAAGTCAATTAAAAACACCTTAAAATACAAATTATCTAACCATGATGAAAATACCTTTGGATTTTAAATGATGATTTTTCAGACAAAGCTATACAGTGAAAACGAACGAGCAATATTCAAGCTCATTTATCCGTTAAACATTGCAAAATTGGAGAGGAGTAAATATGGACCTTCAAAATATCAGAGGCGGGATCAGGTGCTATGGAGAAGTGAGCATTCCCTTCCGACCGGTCACGGCCGCGGTGTGCTCCTTGTCAAATTCGAAAAAAAAAATTCCGTGGACAACTCAGTCAGTGTGTATGTAATAGCCTGACAATCAGTATGTAAAAAAAAACAACTAGCATTTGACTTAGTGATGAATTGTTTTTGATGACAAGGTCATTGTATCGACGATCGAGATTGCAAAAGGTGTCTTTAAACAAGATTGCTGATATTCTAGCTGCAGATCTGTAGCATTATGGTTTTATATACATGTACTTGTCTTTGACCATAACGCTATAGATCCCGTAATGCAAAAAAGGTGCAATTTACGGCGCAATGTTTTTTGCGCGTTTTGGGGGAAAATTTCACCACTTTCTAGCATTGGTCAATCAACTACCTTTCACTCCCTAATTTTAGACACATTCTGTAGCCAATATGTATATTTTATCCACCTCCTAACCATTAATTTTTGTCTCTACAGGCAATAAACTGGCTTGAGGTGAATTTTCAGCAATCTAACGAAAAGTTCAATTAAGCGAGTTTATCACTTGTAGAGACAACTATAAACGGTTTAGGAGATTGATAAAATATACAAATTAATTGAATAATGTGCTTAGAATTAGGGAGTGAAAGGTAGTAAATTGACTGGTGCTGGAAAGTGGAGAAATTCTCCCCAAAATGCGCAGAAATATTGCGCCGTAAATTGCTTCTTTTTTGCATTACTATAACCTGTAGCGTTATGGTCAAATACAAATATATAAAACCATAACGCTACAGATCTGCAGCTACTGATATTCTTGAAACATCAACTTGTTTGTTGATAACTAACCTCATTTTAGATATTGTTCGTATGTAGAACATGACCGAATCGAATCAACCGAGAAATATAAACTCTGAATGCAGGTGAAAATAGCCTCTGAGAACAGGGAAGAAAATCAACAGACAGACGGACCTGCTGATTTCAATATATACACCCCAATCTTCGTTTGCAGGAGTATCGTCAATTAATTTGATATAAAAATCTATTAGCTGGAAATCGATGTATGGGCTTTTTCATTTAAAACCATTTTTGTATGTATATAATATATTTTCATTTGCATACTGTCCGAAATATCCGACGTTTTCCTGGTTTTTTTAACAATTTTTATATTTCATAAAATATCAAAATCGTGAAGGCCAGTAAAACTTAAGATATTTCGGACTAATGTACATGTAATTGTATGAGCGGCGGAGAGGGTAAAAAAAGACGTTAATGAAGAACTAATAACTAACTTTATATAAACATAATGAAATACAAAACAGACAACCTTTAACAGACTCGTTTGCAAAATCAACAGACTCCGATGAAAAACCAACGATCACCAATGCAAAACCAACGATCATCCACTGAATTGACGTTAGATGTGCAAAAAAACAAGACATTACCTTAGGTTTTCTATGTCATCATTATTTGTGTACTTTCATAGGAACTATACAGCTACGTACCTAAAATTGTCAGACTCCTTAAATATACCCATCCATGCATATCTAAGTCATGTAACTCTCCTCTAAGAACCGATCCCCCATTTCCGCTAGCGGAATGCTCCCAGCTTCTATATTGAAATATCCTTGGCAGTAATTGTCAAGAAGCAAAGCCCATTAAAATGGCTAATTGCAACAATACTAATTAGTATTAGAACTTGGAACCTTTTTCAAAGTAAAGAGTAAATGTCAATAATTTGAAGATCCCCCCCCCCCTCTCATTCACTGGAACATTTAATTTGGGTTGAAGAAATTTCTAAAATTCCTTTCGAAATCATGAATTTCTACATTTAACACAAATTGTCTTACTGTGTTATACCAGTGACATGATCCACAGTAAAATTTTTGAGGTTTTTTTTTTTAGAAGGAACACTTTCTGCCAGATCAACTTTGACGACTCTTCCGGAATTCTTAATTTGGAAATAAAAGTAGGATTTCCGAGGAACATATCCTTGACTCAAAGATGAAAAGTGAAGCATGTGTATTTAAAGATGAAGAACATTCCCCAAATCCAAAGAAAAATGTATGGATTTGTGAAACGCTGATGCCCCATTATGACGAGGGTTTAAATTTCTCAAATGCAAGTCAACCTCAAAGATCAATTGAAAATTTTTGGTATCTAAAGGAAGGTTTTGTTACAAGGAATACATCTGTGCAGTATAAAACCCTAATGCTAGCAATTCAAAGGTTATGACCAAGGTTTAAGTTTTAAAAAAGTGAGTCAAATTCTTAGGTCAAGGTCAAAACGTCAAAATTATTTACGCCCGTTGAAAGGCTTGACACAGTAAATACACATGTGAAGTATGAAAGCCCTAGCACCAACCGTTCAAAACTAATTACCAAGGTTAAAGGAGTATATATGATAAGAACCAATTTTGGCCCCCTAAAAATCAACATTTTAGAATGACATTCAGATATGTTTTATTTATATTTATTTTGTAGAAGAGATTATATTAGAAATATTTCCAATTTTTCACATTTATATGCACTCACTAGCTGTAAATGGCATGAGAAATAATGCTATTTTTGCTATCTAACAAAAAAGCCAAAAATATGCCTTTTTCTTGATGTTTTTTTCTTATGGGAAACATAGAGCGCAGTGTAGAACATACATATACTTTTTCTGTCACTAATTAGTATTGAATAGATACATCTTTGGTAAAAATATAAATCTTGTTCTAGGCTGCGCTCTATATTTTCTGAAAGAAAAACTGCTTGAAAATAATAAGTTTTATTCAAAATTTGCTAAAATGGCGGGAAACCCTGATTTTTATGATGTCATATTTCTAAAATAACGGCATGTTGATCAAAATGAAAATGATCAATAAAGGTCGCATATATAGCTGTACAAATTAAAGCTATATATATAAAGTAAAATTAAGATATCCATTTTCAGGAGCCAATTGAGACACTTACAATGTATCGCTCTTTTCGTAATTTTTCGTAAAAAAGGATTAAACGCCAAGGTCATGGTCAAGAGGTTAAATTTTAAGATTCAAGAAGATAGGTCTTGTTCCAAAAAATACACCTGTGAAATATGAAAGCCACAGCCCTAACCACTCAAAAGTTATTGGAAAGGTTACAGTTTTTGCGGGCAGACAGACAGATAGACTGACAAACAGGGCAAAAACTATATACTACTACCCTCGAATCTTCTTTAACTTAGAAATTAAAAAAAATTAAAGGATTTAGTTATGTTATTGAGTCCAAATATCCATGTGGCGTGAACACTGCATCATCATACTGTCTTGGACGTTGCTGTTGTCTATGGGCTAGCTTCTTTTATTGAGAAGGACCAATCAGAACAGGGCATTCATCATATGACGTCCAACATAAAAAAACTGAAAGTAAGAAGTAAGCAGTTGATACTGCAACGCACGCGTTTCTGATTGCTTGTCACCAAAAGGGTTTATGTGATTGGTCGAGAAGTAAGAAAAAACTAATCCAGATTTTCAAGTCATTGCAGTCAACCCGTAGAAGATCGAATGACATTTGTCAGGGGTGACATGTATCGGTAAAATGTTATTGTCCTATGTACCCGGTTTCCGAGACACAGTTAAATTATTTTAACTAGTAAATACCACGCAATGACATCAAAAAAGTATGTGTAATCAAAAAAAAATTTGTAACAAAATGTACATGCATGCACCTAGAGAATAGATTATTTCAAAGCATGTAAAGCATAGGTTGTAAGAAAAAAATCTACGAATTCATATTTTCAGAAAACAAAAAAAAATTGTTTTACCTCTAATAATTTGTTCCTATACAAATCTGTACGGAAAAAGTCTAACATTTCTAATGTTTTGCTGAGCGGGAATAAAAAATCGATGTTGGACCGGTTGATAAGATGTTGGACCGGTTTACGTCACAATATGAACGGAGTTTAATCTTGACGTATCTGAGGTTACATCACGGAATTAAGACAGTACTAAATACATGTATGTCAAAAAAAAATGAAAAATGAAAGGTATAAAAAATCATTAACAGCCTCAGGCAGACAGTTTGGTTCTTGGGTCCGTCAAAACGCATGTTGCCCTCGAACTCAGTCAATAAATGTATAACATTTTTAAGGAGTCATCCCTGTCTCAAAGTTTATGACAAATATGTGGTGTTTTTCCTAAAAGCAGATAATATGGAATAAGTTTATTTGTAATTACTAGATAAACGTTTATAAAAGATTGTTTTTTACTTTGCATCAGAATTTTAATCAATGATAACGCCAAAATACCTTATTATAAAGTCACTTTTGCTGCTGTGTTGAACTTGTTCGTGAAGGCATACAGTGAAAAAAAATCATGAGCTTCCGTGTTTGACTGATGATTAAACATTTTGAGACTCAAACGACAGCGCCCATTTCTATGGCAAGCCCTTCTACTACTGAGTATTTATTCGTAAAATAACTTTTTTTTCTTTCAGTAACAGATATATCTCTTCAACTTAGTGAGATATCTTTTAAGCTTATAAAGATATCTATTTAACTAAGTGATCTCATTGTCTAAGAGAGACATCTTTATCACATAGGGAGATACCTTTTTAATCAAAAGAATTATCCCTTTAAAAGAGATATCTCTTTTTGCAAGAGAGATATCTCTCTTTCTTCGATATCTTTTTATGCCAGTGAGGTATCTCTTTTACGTAGAGAGATATCCAAGTCTTTCATAGTTAGAGTAATATCTCTAGATTTTTTAAAAAGAGATATCTTTCTATGCTAAAGAGATATCTCTTTTTAGTTATCCTTAAAATGAAATAATTATTCCTCCCCTATAATATGAAATTCAGACAGGAAGCTAGCACATGTAATGTATGATCATGTAGATCTCTGGAATAGTTTTAAGAAAAAAGATTCAAATCCAAGAATAAAGTATGCATGAAAAAAAGCCAAGTCCTTCGTTTGAATTGAGTTTTGGGCTTGACTATAATTACTGTTTATTTCTCTATATTTCACGCCCCATATCCTCTAGGCACATTCTTCTTCGACCACAGTCCATATTTTGACCTCCATTCGCATTGGGTTTTTTTTTTCAAATTTTATATCTTTATAATGTTAATTATTTCCATTATTATCAGTTATTTGGCGTTAAGTCAGATTATTCCCCCAACATTTCAACTGAAGAACAAAAGGAGCGGGTGATCAGTGATCTTTTAATGTCACATTTTGACAAAAAATCAAATAATTTTTAATAGTACCTGTACTTTAGATTTATCATTTTTGAACTCTTTTATTCTTTCTTCGTGCATAGAATTTTTGAAATTTAAGATTATTCAGTCCAGTTCGAATTTGTAGAGGACACGAATTATCACATGAAATATATGCAGATAACAAAGGGTATTAAATCTTAAAGATTTTCTGCGCACTTTTGGGGAGAATTTGGGGGAAGCCTCGCTCTTAAGCTCTTAAGTCCAAAATGAGAAACGGACTTTTGGGAATTAAAACTTTGAGAAGCTTTAAAACCTCACAAAATCTTAATTCTGCAGGTATCAAGAAGGTTTTAAAAAGGGAGAAATATGTGGATATGAATCTCCATAAATCATATGTAATAGTGCACATACTATAAATTTTGCTAATTTAACACGCAAAATGGCCCATATATATTTGAAAAACAGTAAAATGTAAATTGTAAAGATTTTTTTAAAATTTATTCTCACGATATATAGATATGTTAATTGTTTAAACAACATGCCATGATAATCTTGCATAACGTCTTTCGATTTTGTGATGAATCTCAGGGGAAAATATGCATCACACATCACAGAAAATGTATGTGCTGTTTATTTCATTTATTCTTATTTTCATAATATATATGGAGCGAGGCTTCCCCCAAATTCTCCCTAAAAGTGCGCAGAAAATCTTTAAGATTTAATACCGTTTGTTATCTCTAAATGAACAAATATGTCTCAGCATTCTACTCTAAATGAACAATTCATTAATAATGTCTCAGCATTCTACTTTAAATGAACAATTCGTAAATAATGTCTCAGCATTCTACCCTAAATGAACAATTCGTTAATACTGTCGCCGCTTTTTACTCCACATGAAAGATTCGTAAATAATGTCTCCCTGCTTTTTCTAAAATTTGTGAGAGAATTTACAGTTGAGTTAATTTTACTTGTATCTTCATCAAACCATTGGAAATGTATCCATTGCTCTCTGATGTAAGGGATATCCAGCCTATGAAGGATTTAAATCCCCAGCCTGGCTCTGCATCAGAAAACTTGTGTGGATTAAGGTGTTTAACTTTGTCTTTCATATTGTCAGATGTATGTAAAATGCGCAGTTCCGTTGATATATCATACGTCCAATCAGATTTGTCTCCTGAAATCAACCCCAAATATATTCCTACGGAATTACCATCCTTTGTACATTTAATTCTCCAAATTTTTCCTAGAAATTGGAATGGAACACTGACCTGGGGAAAAGAAACATCTTGGACTGGAATAGTACAAAGAAATTTGTTACAACGCTCGGTTAAACAGCTAACAGTTTTCTCAAAGTTTCTCAAAGCATATTTGCCCGATCTCTTTCCTTTCAAAGAAGCAAGTTTTGACCACTGCTGTAATTCACTCAACTCCTCTTCAATACCAGCTTCATATTGCTCATCATATCCCGAATAGTGCATCGACAGGGTCATTCTTTGGAAGTGTTTCTCTAAAGAAAATTTCAATCTTTCTTTGGTTACAAATATTTGTTTTCCACTGCCATGTTCTCTAACTGCGTTTGCCATTCTTCTACAATTAATTAATGTTTTTTGAAAGCCAACAAGCCACTCAACATAATCCTTTTGATATTCTTCTGAATTTAAAAATGTTTTTTCAGTTGATTTTTTAAATTCTTCATAGAGACTATCTAAATGTGATTTTGTTTCACAAAGAATACCATTAACTGTCTGCAAAACTTCCTCTTTGTTGTTGTCTAGTTGTGCAATTTTTTCATTTTTATCCTTTATTAAGGATTCTGTGCTTTGCTCTGTCTCAACCAATTTTGAAATAAAGTCACCCATATTAAGATTCTCTTTCTTATCATTTGCTATTTCATCCAAAGACCTGACATCACATTTTCTATGATTTGTCATGAAACAAAGGCTACAACAAAGAATTCCGTGATCAAAGCAATATGCTTCCAAAACTTTGCCTGAATGAACAGGACACAGTTCATCAACTTCAAAAGGTTTAAATGGCATGTCTTCAGAAATTGTTGTAATGGTATGTGTATTGTTATCTCTTTTCCGTTTATGCAAGTAACTGAGGCATTGTTCACAAAAATATTCCTTGCACTCGTGACAATGAACTTTCACTTTAGTTTTTTCATTGGCAAATTTGCAAGGATCACACAATATTTCATTGCCTATTGTCTTGTTTGATTCATAATCAATAAGACGCATCATTACATGGTTGGTTGGTAAGTTTTCGGTCCATTCTGTAGCCGTCATATTTGGCAGTGACACTTCCATTCGACATATTGGGCAACTGAAGATACGTTGAACTTCATTTTCCTCTTCGACGGTTGTCGATACACGTACATAACTTTGGATACAATGTTCACAAAATGTATGCAAACACGGCAACCGTTTTGGTAGTTTCAGCTTTTCCAGACAAATTGGGCAGTTTAAAACCGAGTCATTATCACTATCTACATTAGCTGTTGCCATTTCTTATTAATTAATATTCTTAGCTGTCACTAATAACCTACTTTTGTTGATCTACTTTCGTTTTCAATGCTTGACAAAGGTCGATAACATGCTTCCGTCTTGATAATGCGCCCTCTACTTAGTGGAGTGACAAACCTACAGTATTCAATCTAGGAAAATCATTGCCGTTTATCGGTTCATGAAAAATAGTAGGCAAATCACCTGTACAGATTTTTGACCAGTGGCTGCTCCATCAATTAAACGTACAATGACGTTTACATGGTCATATCAATAATACAATAATTAAAATTAATCCTGCTTTAAGGGATTTTTTCTGCAACAGCTGCGAAATGAATTTCCGTAATAAGAATCAAAGAAAGACATTAAATATTGTTTAAATAAAATAACCTCGGCTTCTTGATAGTAAACCGACAAACAAAGTGCCAGATAATGAGCAAGTGTGCCTCTTCTGCTAAAATTGTGAATTTCATGGTTTCTTGTGTTAGGACAGGAATTTAATTAATCTTGTTGAATCTATGGTTAAAATGTAGTAGTCTGAAAATCTTCTCTGTTTCTGGGTATCTAGGAGGCAAGAGTGTACAAAGCAAGGTTTTTTTTGTCAAGGGTTTTTGTGCTGAACTGGCCTCTATTATAATTTTGAGACCACTGTATTTAAGTTATTAATTTCCTCTATGACTAGTATATGAGTCACTATGAAATAATTATGTTACTGAAAGGATAATTAACTGAATAAGATAATTATACAACATTTTTTAAAAAATAATATATAGGCCTCGTACTAAAAATTCTTTCAAAGTTTCTTGTGGTCTTGTAGAATTTTAAGTGATAGATAAATAAAGAAACGAAGAAAATGTAATTACAATACCACATGTCAGCCATAGCTAAAATTTTATTTTCACGAAAGCGTATTAGAGCCAAGTAATATTTTGTTTAAAGTTCTTAATCACAAAGATACGGTGGTATTATTAGGACACGTAATTATTTTTTTAAGATACCAAGAAAAAAATTGTCTTGTAAAACTATGGAAGGGAATTACCGCCAAAAGTCTATGTATCTTGCTTTTATTTTTATTCTGCCTACTTCTTTATGCTTTGTTATTACTGTAACTATATGTCACTTTATTGTTTTCATATTCGTCTTTATTACATTTCACTTAGACTTTTATCCTTCTTCATTTTGCCCTTATTTCTATGTTGCTTTATTCTTGTTAATTCACTTTACTTTCTTTTAAATTGATACAGTTTCTTAAATGATTATCTCTATTACGAACGTTAGTTCAATCACGCAAACAATGAAGCGTATTCAATGAAGAGGAATAGATGTTGTCAAAATTTAGTGCGGCATTATAACGCTAAGTGGCAGGGTGTTGGTAAAATTAGGTAAGCAAACCCGGGCCGGGGTTATTCGACATTTTTCAATTTTCTGCCTTACTACTTTATCAATCGAACTTAGATTTTCAAATGACTGATGTTTGTTATAAATTCAGGTACTGTATGTACCCGATACATGCCATTCCCTCGGAAGTCTCGCTAGATGGTAAGATTTCTCCTGGAAGACTGACTACATAGTGATGCTTCCTTCGGAAGACTATACAGTGGGGCTTTCCCGGGGAAGTTTCAATATATAGCTAGTCTTCCGTGGGAAATCTGGCTATAATATATAGCAATTCGCACCCTTTATATCAACCCCTCCCCCGAATAGTTTTTTTAATCGTAACACAATGTTTAAATACTAACGTTTTCAGTTTTTGAAGAAAAGTTATATACGTCCTATATGAATAAATATTTAAATAATATCATTTTAATAGTGTTTTATAATCAAATCATTTTAACCATTTAGCTAAACAAAGATAATCTTAACGTGTACATATGGATAATGACTCTTCCTTTTCTCTCCCCCCCTTCCCCGGGTATATATATCTCGAGTGGCACTGTGGTTACGGAGTCATGCTCTACGTATAAAGTCACGAAGTACAGTTTTAAGGAGTTGATGAAACAATACGTCGTGGGTTCGAATCCCACTATAGGACGTGGAGTTCGGTCATTCGGATGAGATCTAGACCGTATTATCCGAGGTCCCGTGTCGCAGTAGGTGCTGGCATACCAAAGATCCCTCACTGCTCAATGGCTATAAGTGCCGAGTATATAGGACAAATTTGCATATCTCTCCACCGGCAGGAGATGGCTTCTCCATTTCAGTGAAAAATTCTCGAAGGGGACATTATACCACCTCTGATGTTTCGGACCCCCAAGTCTCATTATATTTTTAATGGACTTTGAGTTGAATACTGTTCGTTTTCTCCATATCCTTCTCGTGATAATATGAGGGGATGTCGTTTTCACGAAACGTTTTTATAAACGTAACTTTTTCACATACTTTAAAAGTTCAAATTAGGCTTGTTGGAACTACCATCCCTTACACTTTTTGTTGCAGTATCCAATAGTCAATTTATATATTAAAAGTCATGTACTATAATGACATGCATATGACAGGTAAAATTTAGTACTGTTAAAAATTCATCCTTGTCAAATTCCCCCCCCCCCCATTTTTTGCCTCCACCAAATAGAATTTTCTGAGTTTTAAGATTTTTTGAGCTCCCCTGGCTGATTCACAAATATGGCGCATGCAGCATGTGATGACCAAAAATATTAAGATCTTTGGTATGCCAATTAAACTGGAATTCAATTATCACATTCACAAATAATTTTAAACTTTTAATAGATTCTATTTTTCATGTGAAGATCAATCGACGTAGCATCGTTTTTGAAAGTGGGGAGGGGGGGGGGGGTTTTTTCAAGAGAAATATAAAAATTCAGGCTTTTTGAAAACAACTTGAAAAGCAAAAAAAAAAAAAAAGGGAAATTGTCCAACACTTGAAAATATATAGAAATGTAAACTGGAACCGGGAAGGGGGGGGGGGGGGGGGTGGCTTGAAAATATCTTCTTTTCTGACTTTTTCAAAAATTATAGAACAATGAATTTAGAACATGTATAGACATTGAACATTCCTGCATAGGTTTAGCCCATTACCCCTTTCCAACAGGAAAAATACGATGCAGTATGGGTTTGAAAAGGGGAAAGTGGTGGTGTTTTGAAAAAAAATTGGCACTGGAATTCGAACTTAAAAACTATTTGACACCCCCCACCCCCGAAATAGGATTTTTGTGTTTGGAGAATATATTTCTTTTTTTTCATGTCATATTTTTTTTTTGAAGGTCTAAAAAAATTGATACAGAAACCCCCCCCCCTAAAAGAACTTTCAATTTTCTTCTGACGCCAATGAAATCCTAAGCTTTTACAAGGGGCGGGATGGGTTTTGGGTTAAAATTTCTTCAACTTCTTCTATAGTATTAAATTTAAATTTTCTTCATACTATACTACATTAACTTATTTGACCCTTACTCTTACAAAACGTGGGTCGGCCTTTCAATGAACATATTCAGTATGGTATAAAGTTATGTCTGAAAAAAAAGAGGCCCCTATTCCTGTGTGCCCAGAGAAATTAAATATCTGGGTTTCCATCACTGTATCGGGTGAAATATATTAATAGTTAAGATTTCATTTTTGTTGCCTTCAGAAGTTCGATTGATAAAATGAAATTATTCAGAAGAACCCCAGCCCGGGTTTGCTTACCTAGTTAGCGAACACCCTGCCACCTAGCGTTATAATGCCGCACTAAATTTTGACGGTTTGACAACTTCCATTTCTTCATTGAATATGCTTCATTGTTTGCGTGATTGAATTAACACATTCGTAGTAGAGATAATCCTAATAATTTATTTAAGAAAATGTTTAAGTTTAAAAAAAGTAGAATGAATTTACAAGAATAAAGCAACATAAAGGAAAACTACAAACTAAGAATTAATAAAATGTTTGATAAATGTAAGGGAAACAATAATAAAAGTTAACCTAGTTAAATGTTGCTAACATGAAAACATTAAAGTGACATATAATTACAATAATAACAAATGCATGTTTAAAGAATTAGGCAGAATAAGAAAAAAAGCAAATACATAGACATTGTCCTGGATGTATATGTAATTCCCTTCCATAGAAAACGAAATATTATCTTGTATTTTTCTAAAGATAATATGTCATTTTTAAATTCAATTTAATAAGTATATTAATGACACCTTTCACAGGTAAAACAATTAGGTATGGAGTACGGTATGTAATTGCGAAATTCATCCTTGTCATTCATTCATTCATTCTATCTTTATTTCCCCCCGTTTTTGGAGATTGCATGAATATGAACATTTCAAATCATATAAACATTTCTTACAAGTGTGAAAATAGAAAAAAATAAATACATATGAATTAGGCCGGAAAAAAAAATAAATGTGTACATTATATTATTTTTACTGGAGTTAGAACAAGGTTGCTGACTAGAGCTTTTATATACAAGGTAGGGAAAAAAACAAGGTTGCTAACAGTAAGTATAGACAGGTCACTCTGTTCTCCTACGCAACTGTCTGTTAAACCATGCTGCAGTATCCCTTAGGAAACGAAAATTCAACATATGTAAGCTGATTACCATCAAATTATGAGATAAGGTGTTTTGAGATTAATCTAGCACCTAGCAGAAAAAGGTATAGGTCATGTGGACTGAGACCGGAAAGTTCGGCATTTAATATGATATCAAAGTTGTTCGATCAGAGTGTCCCACCACGCTTGCGGATGGCGGTTGTGCCCAAGCAGGTTGTAGAGATGTGCTCGAAAATATTCCTGAAGTTTTCTTCGCAGAGGGGACAAGGTTCTGGAGGAGAGTCTGAAAGAGTTGA